ATCTTGGATATTACCATTCCAGTGAGAGGAGAAACGAGACTTACAGGTGCCAGGGACAAAAAGAGCAAAAGTCACACTCCAGGACGGACTTAGTTATACCCCAAAGGTTCCTACCCTCACTCCTCATCCCTCTCTCCCATTGAAAACATGATATAATTAGAATCATTTCTTCCTGGTTTTTTCCTGTAGATGTTTTTATTTTGACCAGTACTGGTGGAAGTGGGAGGAGAGTAGAGTGAAGACCACCATCTGTCCACCAGAATCTATTCTCTCCCTTTTCTATAGCAATAGATGTTTGGCTGGGTCATGACTACTCAGATAAGCACCTCATTCACCAGCTCCCCTTTTAGCCAGTTGTGGCCATGTTGACTAAGCCTCATCAATGGATCTGAGTAGAGATATATGTATGTTTTTGCTTTGCTTAAGAGTAAATCTCTAGCTCGAGACTTGTATTCTTTCTCTTTTGGTCACTAACCAAAAATGCTTCAACAAAAGTGACCTTGGAAGCTACATGTTGAAGATGCCAGTTACTAGCCTAGGTCCCTGAATGATGAAGTAGAGGAAAGCCATCCACCTACTTGGAACACTGGCCTTGGACCATATTACATAGGACCTTCTAATCAAATCCTGCTAGTTCTTCATATCCTACCACAAATACCACTTCCTTCAAGAAATATCCATGAATACGTTCTTCTCCTTGACCATTCGTGTCTGTTCCCCATAACTTCTGGTACTTATTTTTCTTCCTTTTCTTTTCCTACTTGGTTTTATTTGGTGTTTTTGTTCTTTGTTTTGTGTGCATTTCTTATCTCTATTTTGACTATATTGTTTCCTACTTGGTTCTATTTGGTGTTATTTTTGTTTTTGTTCTTTATTTTGTGTGCGTTTCTTGTCTCTCAAACTAGAAGGTGCTCCCAAGCGGTGATACTCCACTTCTACTCCAGTTCCCCCAACAGCACAGCTGTAATAAATGCTGAAGGGGCCCCACATAGGCCTCCTTCATAGGCTGCTGTGAGTGTTGGCTGCATCAACTCAGTGGCATCCCTTTCTGCAGAGATCTGGCCTCAGCCAAGTGTGAGCACACCTGGAAGATTACATGCCTTTGTAGGAGCCAGCAGCCAATGGCTAACTAACAGGGATTAGAAAAGATAGCCACAAAAGGTAGGGCCAATTCTGTGATGATAATTGAGTGTCAGGCTGGGCATGGTGGCTCAGGCCTATACTCTTAGGCACTCTGGAAGGTTGAAGCAGGTGGATTGCTTAAACTCAGGAGTTTGAGATCAGCCTTAGCAAGATCGAGACGTACTCTGTAAAAAAATTAGCCAGGCACTGTCACAGGTGCCTGTAGTCCCAGTTACTTGAGAGGCTGGGGCAAGAGGATTGCTTCAGCCCAAGAGTTCAAGATTGTCATGAGCTAAGATGCTATGGCACTCTTCTGAGGGAGACAAAGTGAGATTCTCCCTCAAAAAAAAAAAAAAAAAAAAAGAAAGAAAAAGAAAAAGAAAAGAACATTGAGCATCAGAACCTTCCTGAGGACCCAGGCTGTTTCTAATCTTCAGCCAGGATCACTTCCTTACTACGCTTTCTTCCACTGCCCTAGCCTGCAATAGCTCACAGCTGCCACCCTTCCCAAATTGTCCTCAGCTGACCATTACCTCCTTACAACTATCATTTGTTCCTCTGTCCCTGGCAGGGTGGCCCACACTTGATGACTAACTTTGGGGATACAAAAGGCCAGCAAGAGTGCCTCGGCCTCAGGGGAAGGTAATTCTGCCTGTGGTTTACTCCTCACTGTATAACCATTCCCTGAGGGTCAGCCAAAGCTAGACAGGACCTGAGACACACTTTGACTCTTTCCTTTTATTATCTACTTCTCTCTCTTTTTTGCAAGTTTTTCCTGAAAAGTGCATCCCATCATAAGTGTGTCTATTTCTAGGAGGCCCAGTTTCAAACCTCTGCCATCATTTCCCCAAATCACTTTCCTATTCGTTTCTGAGGACGTCTCAGATCCACACTCTGAATTATGTGTGCCATGGGAGAGAAGTTGGGTTGAAGGTGCATAAAAGGCACTAGATCAAAAACATCTGGGCTGTTTTGAGGTCATCCTAAGGAATACCTACTACATAGGGTTGTTACGAGGATTTTAAAAGCTTAATGAGCTCAAGTGTATAAAATACTTAGACTAGTGCCTGACATGGAGTGATTGCTTAGCCCAGGGATTTCTTTGATCTTTTTTGTTTACTTATGTATTCTGAGTGTGCCTAGGTGAGCGTTTGGCACCTAATAGGCACTCAATCAGTATCTGTTGATTACTGAAGCTTTGCTCTGAGAGCTCAAGGTGACATGCTGGGATTTGGTCAGCAGAGGGCAGAAGCCGTGCAGGAAAAGCTCCTAGGGACTGAGCGAGATAGCAGGACAGACAGAGCTCCTTACACAACATGCCAGAGGAGTGCTTGCATTGTAGAATATTAGAATGTTTACATTTTACCCCCTTAAGATTCTAGAATTTCATCTGGTCCCATTCTGGGTGTGTGCAATGAGATATACTGAGCTTCTACTTTGGAATTCAGAGGAGTGGTTATTTCAGGCACCAAGATCCCTGAAGTTGCCCTGTTGTCTGTAGCTTCTCTTTTGAACTTGTGAGCTGCCCCATACTCCTTTCATAAACCCCCTTTCATACTTACGCTAATATACATACATTGGGTTTCTATAAATTACAAACAACATAATCTGTCGTATTTTATTATTAAGTTCTGTGAGTGTGAAGGGGACCCTCTTCCCAGATGGGGGGACACCAAAGTCATAGTGTGGCCACATTGCTCTTGCTTCCTGCTTGTCTCCCCAGCTGACCTGCTCTCTCCAGGATTGTGTCCCCCCACATTTCTCCTCCAAGCCTCTCTTGTTCCTTTTATTGACTCGGCCTGTTTAGATCTGTCCAATCTTCCAAAGCTCAGTTCAAGGTCTCCCTCTGTCTGACTGCTCTAGATCTCTTCAGTCTCATTTCTCAAGATCCTTATAGCATTCATCATCTGACCATTCACTCTACACTCAACTCCATTTCATATTTTATTTGGGAGTTTGGGTTGGGTGGTCTCTGAAGCCCTATCAGCTATAGGCTTCTGAATCTGTTGTCTTCCCACAGGTCACATCTTCCTTAAGGGGATCTCCACCTTCTCCCTCAAGAAGAGATGAGAAAGAGCTTGAGTACCCATGGGGGTCAGCACACATTTGTAGAGTCAACGTAACTGTTTAGGGGAGCAAATGTGTTCTGTGACCATCCATTCAAGAAACACATAGGGATTTACTTTTATTTGTTTCAAAGCAGAAGTCGCTTTTTTCCTTTTTTTATAAAAGTAACATACTCGTGGTCAAGTGAGTCAAATATTACATAAATTTATAAATTGCAAAGGAGAAATCAGCCAATAATCATATTCATCAGAGGTAACTGTAATCAAAATTTTCTGAGTTCTGCTATACACAAATATGTACATAGTATGTTTCAATGGGACCTTCGGGGGACCACTTGGATATACCTTAAATTGCAATTGGACAAACAGAACAGTGGATGGTTCCAACCTGGGATTGGGGGCAAGTAGCTTGTGAGGTATTCACCACCATACTGCACATATTAGGTTGAACCTATGAAAGTACTGAGATTTAGCTGTTTTTGATTTATAAATTCAGTGTTTTCATGTAATTCAATCTAATGCATGCAAAGCCTAGAATGTCAGAACTGATACAGGCCTAGAGGCTTCTCAGTACATTTCATTAGGTTGAGGAAAAAAAGGATCAGAAAGAAGTGTCCAGTGTAATAAGACCATACGCCACATTGGTGGCAGAATCAGGATTAGTTCTCTTTCCACTGAATTATGTACCTGCCTTTCATACTCTTCTTCTTTTAAAATAACAATCTTCTAAGTGTTATCATGATCTTCTAGAAGCAGATTTTCAATTTGTATAAGAAAATTTCTCATAGGACTCAATCAAATTGCAAGAGGCTGGTTTAGAGGTAGCTTAGTCCCCGTGACTGGAGATGTGGCTGGGAAGGGCCTTGTGACTTGGCTCATGAACCATGGAGCTAATAAGGCACAACATTCAAGGCCCTGACCTGCATGGGCCCCTTCTTAAGGTCCTGGCAAGGGCCATTTTAACATGGTGATAGATTCTGTAATACTTACAAAAGCAAGATACTATAGAATGAGGGCTGAGAGTAGTGGCTCATACCTGTAATCCTAGCACCCTGGGAGGCCAGGAGCTCAAGACCAGCCTAAACTGCAGTGAGACCCTGTCTCTAAAAATAGCTGGGTGTTGTGGCAGACGTCTGTAGTCCCAGCTACTCAGAAGGCTGAGATAAGAGAATTTCTTGAGCCCAAGAGAATGAGGTTGCTGTGAGCTATGATGCCACAGCTCTCTACCAAGGGCAACAAAGTGAGACTCTGTCTCAAAAAGAAAAAAAAGATAGTTTGAATTAGCTTAAAGAGAATCCCCAGAATTGTATAAGCTTCAGGCCAGGATCCACTCCTATATGGCACAGAGCTCTGAAAAGCACCAGGCAAGGAGACTGGAGTTCCTGGGTTCCACATGGTGCTACTCTGGCCCAGATGGGCATCATGGCCCTGGCCCTGCTTTACTTACTCATGGCAGGGTTGGGAGGGTGAATGACAGGGTTAAAATTACAAATGTTAAATGTGTTGAAATGTGAACAAATATAAATAAGTAATATTACTCAGATTTCCTATCTGTGATGTGGGACAATCATCACTGCTTCTCATGACTGTTGAAGATAACATTAAAGAATATGTCCTCAGAGCAGGGGTCCTCAAAGTGAGGCCCGCAGAGGACATTTATCCGGCCCGCGGGGTGTTTTTGCCGCTGCTGCCTGTCCTGCTTAGCAGCTGACTCATCCCAGGCCTGCAGTCCAGCCGGCCAATGGTCTGAGGGACAATAAACTGACCCCCTGTTTAAAAAGTTTGAGGACTCCTGCCCCAGAGCATCTTCCTGTTTCATTTTCCTCTGCTACAACTTTCTCTTCTCCTTTCTCTGACTCCCGGTTCCCTTAAATTCCAGCCACAGGACCAGTCTTTGGTCATTTTCTGTTGCTTTTCTCTATATTTGTTCATGGCTCCTACTATTTATAAAGTCTATCTTTGCCTTGAAAAAATCCTTATCCAAAAGGCCCAGGTCTGCCAGCCCTCCCACCCGTGATGACCTCCCTTCGCACTGTTTCTTAGTGGTCTTGCAGAAGGAGGCACTGAGGCCTGATGTGGTCCCATAGCTGAGTTCTGGAGGCAACAGGAGTGATCTCTAGGTGTCTTGATCTTCCACATCCCCGGCCTCCTCGCGTTAGATCATGGATATGCGGTTCTTGATGTACACATGGTAGGGGTCACTTTGCTTGTCCACTTTGCGGGAGCGAGTGTATCCCAGGACGAGGCTGCCCACAGTGACAGCAAACAGGAACATGACAAAGAGAATGTACATGTAGGAGTTGTCATCGCGGCCGGGTAGTCTGGCCTGCCGTTCCTCAGTCTGGTTGTCTGGCCCTGGCCCTGGCTCTGGTACTGTCCCCGGCCGACAGAGCAAATTGTTGTGAAGAGTGGCATTCAGAGCCTTCAGCACAGCATGCAGGCTCTCGTACCAGGTCTCAGTCCTATTGGTGGTCTCCATAGGGACTGAGGTGGGGGAAAGATCAGAGGATGCTCTGGTGGGGAGGAAAAAGAAAGAGGGGATGGATTCTGTTACCTGCAGCTTGAATGTCCTCCCCACTCCTCAGGTCCCAGCTCAAATGCCAGTGTCATAGTTATTCTAACTTTTTTTTTTTTTTTTAGACAGAGCCTCAAGCTGTCGCCCTGGGTAAAGTGCTGTACCATCACAGCTCACAGCAACCTTCAACTCCTGGGCTCAAGTGATTCTCCTGCCTCAGCCTCCTAAGTAGCTGGGACTACAGGTGCCCACCACAATGCCCGGCTTTTTGGGGGGTTGCAGTTGTCATTGTTGTTTGGTGGGCCCGCGCTGGATTTGAACCCGCCAGCTCAGTTGTATGTGGCTGGTGCCTTAGTCGCTTGAGCCACAGATGCCGAGCCTATTATTCTAACTTCTTGTGTACTTGTTTGTTTTCTCCACTGGACCACAAGCTCAATGAAGGCAAGGATATGTCTGTTTTACTCAAGCACTTATGAGAGCCCTCAACAGGTACTCAATAAACACGTGTAGAATAAAGCCTTCCCTGATCATTGTAATCCACATTCATCTCTCCTTTCTTTGGATTCTATAAGTCACTGAACTTTAGGTTAGAAGGACCTTAGGAATTATTTAACTTGATTCCTTCAATTTTACACAAGAAACTGAGACCCAGAGAGATATACCAGATTACACAGTATAGTAGAGGTACAGCCAAGATAGAAAACACTGTTCTTCCATGGTCAGCTCAAAGCTCCCCCTCTTCACCAGCTCTTGGAAGGACTGTGCAGCACCATTAGAAGGTATTCATCAGAACTCTCCTTCAGGCTTGGCACCTGTGGCTCAAACAGCTAAGGCGCCAGCCACATACACCTGAGCTGGTGGGTTCGAATCCAGCCTGGGCCCACGAAACAACAATGACGGCTGCAACCAAAATATAGCTGGGTGTTGTGGTGGGTGCCTGTAATCCCAGCTACTTGGGAGGCTGAGGCAGGAAACTCACTTAAGCCCAGGAGTTGGAGGTTGCTGTGAGCTGTGATGCCACGGCACTCTACCCAGGGTGACAGCTTGAGGCTCTGTCTCAAAAAAAAAAAAAAAAAATACCTTGGTGTGGTAGTGTGTACCTGTAGGCCCAGCTACTTGGGAAACTGAGGCAGGTGGATCACTTGAGCCCAGAAGGTTAAGGCTACGGTGAGCTGGGATCATACCTCTATACTCCAGCTTCAGCCTGGACAACAGAACAAGACCCTATCTCTTAAAAAAAAAAAAAAAACTCATGAGCAGCATTCTGAATGCAGAAGTTGTGGAGATGAATCCAAATAATTCAGCAATCAACTAGGACTGGCCCATGTTTCATGCAAGGCTTTTTGGCCCTCTGCCATCTAGTACTTGTGCAATCTTGTCTGGATGGAGGAGGGGAAAAAAATAAGAGTTCACGGAGTTAAGATACAGGTGGTATAGGTTTTCTCATCCAACATTCCTATCCTCAGGTAAGGAATGTGTGCCCTGTGTGGGCCTAGGGCAGGTGGAAGCAGCACAGGAAAATGAATGACTCAATGCATCTTCCAGTCAGTCACCATTTATCTGGGGCAGGCCCTGTGCTGGGAGCTCAGAGAGGCTCATACCCAGTCCCTCCACTCAAGGTCACGGGCAGCTCTAATACAATGCAGGAGACAAGCTGGAAGCTACTGAGGCTTAACGGAAGAAGTGATGAGTTCAGATTTTGTCTTAGAGAATGCTTACACTGATAGATGCATTTGAGTTGGATCTTGAGAGGTTTTTAGGAAGAAGAAATGGTCAGGGAAGGAAGCAGATGATCAAGGCATGCCAACAAGTGCATAAAATGTTTAGAAGAATAGAAAGTAGCATAAAGCAGGTGGAGTGTAAGAAGCTTAGAAGGGTAAGATGGGATGTGGGACAGGAAAGACTGGCAGAAGCCAGGTCCTAAAGGGCCTTGAGTACCATGTTGCAAAGCTAACTTTATCCTGTAGTTGGGGAAGAGCTATGGGATGGCTTTTTTATTTTTTATTTTATTTTTTTAGTAGAGACATGGTCTCTGTCACCCAGGCTGGAGTGCAGTGGCATTTTCATAGCTCACTATAGCCTCAAACTCCTAGACTCTAGCAGTCCTCTTGCCCCAGCCTCTCAAGTAGCTGGGACTACAGGCATGTGCCACAGTGCCTGACTCACTTTTAAATTTGTTAAAGAGATGGGGTCTCACTGCTAGTGTTCAATGTGAGCTACTGTACCTAACCTGGAACATTATTTTTAAAGGGGATACAATGATCAGATCTGTGTTTAGAAAGGACACTCTAGCTGTTACGTAGACTGAAGCAAACAAAAACTGAGGCAGGGAGCTCAGTTATTAGGGTCTTAAAATAGTTCAGATGCAAGATGCTGAGTCCTGAGTTAAGGCAGAGCGAATGACAACGTGGGGGGCAGATGTGAGACGTGAGGAAGGAATGGTTAAGGTAAGGCTGGAAGGAGGAAGGGGTCTCAGACAATAAGCAGACAGTGTATCTGGAGGAGCCCAGAACTCTGAGGGAAATAAGTCACTTTCCCCGTTTGGGCTTCGGTTTTCTCATCTATCAGAAAAGATCATCATCATGAGTTGTCATACAATGGGCATAGAGTTTCAGTCCTGCAAGATGAAAAATTTCTAGAGATCTGTTGCACAATGATATGAATATAGTCAACACTACTGAGTATACACTTAAAGTGGTTAAGATGGTAAATTTTATATATGTGGGGTTTTTGTTTGTTTTTGAGAACAGGGTGTCACTCTGTCACCAAGGCTAGAGTGGTGTCATCATAGGTTATTGCAACCTCTAACTCCTGGGGTCCAGCTATCCTCCTGCCTCAGCCTCTTGAGTAGCTGGGAATACAACCACATGCCACCACGCCCAGCTAATTTTTCTAGTTTCTGTAGAGATGGGATCTCGCTTGTGCTCAGGCTGGTCACAAACTTGTGGCCTCAAGCAAGTCTCTCTCCTCAGCTTCCCAGAGTGCTAGGTGTGAGCCACTGCACCTGGCCTGGGTTTTTTTTTGCAGTTTTTGGCCGGGGCTGGGTTTGAACCTGCCACCTCTGGCATATGGGGCTGGCGCATATGCCACAGGCACCGCCCTGTTATGTGTTTTATTTGTTTGTTTGTTTGTTTTTACCATAAATAAAACATCTCCAAAAGATTAGCACCCCTGCCCTGCCTCCCTCAAGGCTTGCTGTGAGCATATGATTTATTATGTCAAGGATTTAAAAACATTTTTTTTTAAGTTTTGAGAAGCAAATATATATATACACAGTAAAAAACAAAAGAAGAAAGAAAGAAAAGGAGGAAAGGAAGAAAAAAAGAAAGAAACATAGAACAAAGATGAAATCTCCTTGTTCCAGGGCTCCTTCCCAGGGCAGTCACTGTTAACAGTTTCTTAGATATTATTTGAAAAGGCTTTTTTTTTTTTTTTGGAGACAGAGTCTCACTCTTTCATAGAGTGCCGTGGCATCACACAGCTCACAGCAAACTCCAACTCCTGGGCCCAGGCAATTCTCTTGCCTTAGCCTCCCGAGTAGCTGGGACTACAGGCGCCTGCCACAATGCCCAGCTATTTTTTGGTTGCAGTTCAGCCAGGGCCAGGCTTGAACCCGCCACTCTCAGTATATGGGGTTGGTGCCCTACTCACTGAGTCACAAGTGCTGCTCTGGAAAGGGGTTTTAACTGACAGGAGAGGGGGAAGGCAATCACAATCTGAAAAACTCACCAAACAGCAGGGAAATTCACTGGTTCTGAGTCAGCTTCAGGAATTTCCTTGTGGACGCCCTCAGGCTCCTCAACCCCTCACATCTGGGGTCTCAGTGACGTCAGGAGTTGGGAAGGTGCAGAGCTGGAAAACAGGGGAAAGGCAGAAAAGGAAGAAACTGGACACACAGAACAAACTTCAGAACCAGGGTGGATCGCCCAAGGCCAGGCCGCAGGGTTGTGCAATAGTCCTGCTGTGGGCTCTGACCCCTTCTCGCTGCCCCTCCCCTTCCTGCAGCAGCTGGGTCAGGCAGGCCTGGAGTTGCAGTTACAAGAACTATGCAGTGGCCAAGACTGTATGATTGCTGTTCCCCCAATGCCAGCCTCACAGTGTCTTAACTGGGTGACTTCAAGAAAACTTCAGTTTAATATATGGTCTCACTCAGGGACCAGCTAATGGTGCTGAAAACATTCCTTTTCCTTAGGCACCTTAGTAAGAGCCTTTTTTGGAATCCCAGGGGAATGATGTGAGTGGTAGACTGGCAGTTGGCAGTTAGGTTGATATTTTATATAGAAACAAATGGAATATTACCCCTCAACCTATTTGGATAGTCATGGTCTCAGAATTAACAGAATTATCTGTAGCATGGTTTGTTGTGAAAATTAAAGAATATTATGCAGTGCTTGGCACTAGACACTCTGCAGATGTGGTTTTACTGTTGCAGAGCAGAGGCTAGAAGGGCCTTTTGAGTCCGACTAGTCTAACATCCTCATTTCACAGCCTAGAAAATGGAAGCCCAGAGAGCTGATTCAGCTGTTACTTATATGACTTAAAGCATGTGACTTCCCTTTTCTGGGCCTCAGCTTCTATCTGCATTTGTAAAATGCAGGTGTCTGGGTTAGCTCTAACACAGAGACAATACAGACCCATGCTGTGAGATCAGGGGAGATTAAGAGAGGCTGGTGGGGAAAGCAATTTGGGGCTTTCTAAGGTCTCTCAAGTCCAAGGATAAAGAAGGCTGTAGACTTTTTTGTTGAGGGTTAAGATGCTTCTGAGCCCTGGGACTGACTGACTCCTAATGTTCTAGTCTAGAGAAACGGAAGGCTAGATCAGCTGACTTGTTCGTTTTTCCTCTTAACAGCTCCTCTGCTGGAATGATCTAGCCTGGGGAGGAGAAAGACGGTGTAGTGCAGAAGGTAAGATGGGCTGTGAGGTGGGATTCAGTGCAGGGAGCAAACATTCATTAACCTCTCTGGCTAGACCAGGATTTTTTTGGTGGGGGGAGGTTGAGGGCCTAGGTGTAAAGGCATCCTGTTTAGGTCAGGAGAGGCAGAGAGCTGATGAAGGGACAGGTTGATTCTCTATGATCTGCCTCTGGGCCTCAAGTCGGGACCTGGCAGTCAGCAACACTGGGAATTTTGCTCCTCTTTCTGAATTCCTTGGCTTCCCTCTGCAAGAGAGTCACTGATTACAAAGCTCCTTGCATGGGGCAGACAGAGCTCCCGCCCTGGAGAGGCCTTGACTTGAAATAGGAGATAGAACAGTTAGGAAGGAAGGTGAACACATGGAGACCAAGCTGAAAGAGATTTTAATGATCACTTAGAATCTAGATTCTAGGCCAGTCCCTCCATTTTGTAGATCAGAAAACTTTTCTGAGACTCCGAAAAGAGAAATGACTTGTCCAAAATGACATGGCTTATATGTGGCAGAACTCAGACCAGAACCCAGATCTTTGGGAAGCTGCTCAGTGCTCTTGCTACTGCAAATGGCAATCTTCCCTTGCATCTGAGCTGCTTATCAGACCAAATACAGCCTGCTGGTGGTCACGGGCTATCATTTCCTCTAACCCCATCACTACGGCCTTTTCCTGCACTGTGGATTCTCCTCAATCTTAGTCAAGGATCCAGTGAGGGGGGAAGTTGGTAAGTTTTGGAGGAGTTAGCCTTGCTTTATAGCCCTGTCTCCCATGGCCCCTCCTGCTCCAGACCTCTCTGAGCCTCTGGAGGAGCCAGGCTCACTCTCTTCCTCCACATTCGGTTCCTGCTATTCCCCTCGCTTTATGTTCTCACTAACTATACTTGCCTTGAACTGTAACCTGGAAGTCTAACTTGCAAGTTGGGGGAATAACACTGTGATCTGAAGGATAAACCAGCTTTCTTAGTGGGATTTTCTTTCAGATATCTCTCAAGAAAAATGAACTTCCACATGGGTTCTGTCTTAGCTACTCTTTCAGAATGTATGTCCTACATGTCTGGAAATGCAGTTCAGAGAGGCAGGTGAGAAAAGGCACGTAAAGGAAGTAGGGGATCCAAAGACAACTCCTGGGATGCACAATTTTGCCCTTGTCACCTGGACTGGAGAGCGGGTGGAATAGGAGAGGACTAGAAGGAGTAGAGCTTAATATCTAGATGGAAGGACATAGGAATACAATCTGAGCTCAGAGGGATCTTAATGATCATGTTGTTGGTGCAACCTCCTCATTCAACCAGTAGAAAAACAGACCTCCCACCACCAAGAAAATCATTTGTTCAAGATCTCACAGCCCAGTTGTGGCAGAGCAGGGACCAGAAACCAGATATGTAGACTCCCTCCTCTCCCCAGATCTTGCCACTATAAGTTTGCCTGTAGGGCAAGGTCTAAAATTCTTCTGAGTATCATTCAAGCTCCTTTGGATTCAACTCTGCCATTGGCCCTATCCCCTTAATAGCTCTCCTCAGTGCCCTGTTCTCATGACATTGAGCTGCAGGCTATTTTCCAAACATTTTTGCTTATACACCTCTTATCTTCATTCAAGCTGTTTTCTTAAATAGGAATGATCTTTTTTTTTTTTGTAGAGACAGAGTCTCACTCCATCGCCCTTGGTAGAGTGCCATGGTGTCACAGCTCACAGCAACCTCCAACTCCTGGGCTTAGGCGATTCTCTTGCCTCAGCCTCCCAAGTAGCTGGGACTATAGGTGCCCGCCACAACACCCAGCTATTTTTTGGTTGCAGTTCGGCCGGGGCCAGGTTTGAACCTGCCACCCTTGGTATATGGGGCCAGCGCCCTACTCACTGAGCCACAGGTGTGGCCGAAGAATGATCTTTTTATCTACCTGGCAAACTCCTACTCATCCTTTAAGACCCACCTCCAAAGTCATTCTTTTTTGGGGGGGGAAAAATTCTTTTTTGTTTCACTTTGTTGCCCTTGGTAGAGTGCTGTGGCATCACAGCTCATAGCAACCTCCAACTCCTGGGTTTAGGCAATTCTCTTACCTCAGCCTCCTGATTAGCTGGGACTGCAGGCGCCCACCACAACGCCCGGCTATTTTTTTGTTGCAGTTTGGCCAGGGCTGGGTTTGAACTTGCCACCCTCAGTATATGGGGCTGGCACCCTACTCACTGAACCAGTGGCGCCACCCCAATGTCATTCTTTATAGACCCTGACACAACTCCTTCCCCACACCCTAGCCAGTTAAAGTCTCTCCCTCTTGTCTGTTCTCAAAAGCACTTTGAACAAAGCCCTCTTAGAGCACTGTGTTATACTAAAATCGTGTGTGTGCACTATGAGGTATGAGCCAGGGACCTGTGCCTTATAACATTTCTTTATTCCCCAGGCCTGATATGTAACATGCACTCACAAGAGGAAATGAATCAAAGCTTCTTCTACACATGCTGGAGAGGGAATGCATTCATGAAAAACAGTTTATTTAAAAAGCAACCTCAGTGGGCCAGGCATGGTGGCTCACCCCTATAATCCTAGCACTTTGGGAGGCTGAGGCAGGAAGATCCCTTGAGCTCAGGAGTTAAAGATTAGCCTGAGCAAGAGTGAGACCCGCCTCTACTAAAAATAGAAAAATATTCTCCAGGTATCATGGTGAGCACTTGTAATCCCAGCTACTCAGGAGGCTAGGCAGAGGGATCACTCAAACTCAGGAGTTTAGGGTTGTTGTGAGCTAGGCTGATGCCACGGCACTCTAGCTTGGGCAACACAGTCAGACTCTGTCTGGGGTGGGGGGAAGGCGGGGTACAATGGCTCACACCTGTAATCCTAGCACTCTGGGAGGTCAAGGGAGGTGGATCACCTGAACTTGGAGGTTTGAGACCAGCCTGAGCAAGAGGGAGACCTGTCTCTACTAAAAATAGAAAAACTAGCCTGGCAGCCACCATAGCACCATAGCAGGAGTCTGTAGTCCTAGCTATTCTGTCCGCTGAGGCAAGAGAATTGCTCAAGCCCAAGAGTTTGAGGTTGATGTGAGCTATGACACCATGGTACTCTGAGAGAGTAAGACTCTGTTTCAAAAAACAAGAACAACAATAACAAAAAAACCTAAACAGCAGACCCATACAGATTCCACCTGGTATGAGGAAGGGGATGCTCAAAGAAGCGAGGTGGGGTGAGCCACAGGAGGAAGAATTCTAAGCCTTCTTTGGAAGCCCAGACACTCCCTGCACCTGGACCACTTTTAATCCAAAGGGCAAATATTCTTGGCCCCAAAATTCCAGCATTGGCTTTGCAACCCGGTTCCTTGTGTACCTACCCAGGGTGTGGCAATACACACCCATCCACCACACACATACAGTCCAACTCCTGATCACTCAGCCTGTGATCTTGCCCTTCAAGTGTGCTTTTCATGATTCCAATCTTGTCTGTGTAACCTTGAACATTTTGTTTACTTCCTCTGAACCTCATCCATAAGATGGGGATGATTATCCCTGCCCTGCTTACCTCACATGGGAACAGGAGAAGATAATAGATGGGAAAGGGTTTTAAAAATTGGGCAGCACCAGTGGCTCAAGGAGTAGGGTGCCGGCCCCATATATCAGGGGTGGTGGGTTCGAGCCCAGCCCTGGCCAAACACTACAAAACTAAAAAAAAATTGCAAACATATGAGATAATTATTGAGCAGTCTGATCACACTGTTTCCTTTTCTGTGGCCACAACCTTCCCCCCATATTATCAAGAATAGCCATCCCTGTGTCCCCTCTCCTCACCCCAGCTCTCCTACCCTCAGAAGAAGCCAGAAGTTTCTTTCTTTCTTTTTTTTTTTTGAGACGGAGCCTCAAGCTATCCCCCCTGGGTAAAGTGCCATGGCATCACGCTCACAGCAACCTCCAACTCCTGGGCTCAAGCGAGTCTCCTGCCTCAGCCTCCCAAGTAGCTGGGACTACAGGCGCCTG